CATCTGGGCGTAAACCGGCAAATGTCCTACACCCTGGCGGCTCTTCCTTGGAGTGCTCGGAGGCAGCGCCTGCTACATCGCGGTAAACATGGGGTCTGAAAAGAAAGAAGCCAGTTCAACCAACCAAGCAAATCGCCCGAGACATCCCCAGAATCGGGGCACGAACGGGCAAATACCCAATCCCCTGGCGGCCCCCCTTTAGAGTACTCAAAAGCCACGACTGCTACATCGCAGTACGCATGAGGCTCAGAATGGAGAGAAATCTGACAAGCCAAAAATGCAAACCGCTTGAGACGCCCCCGAAATCTAGGCGTGAACAGGCAAATGTCCTACTCCCTGACGCCTGCTCCTGGGGTCCTCAAATACCACGCCTGCGACGTCGGGCGAGCCTGAGCATGAGTGTATGAGCGCCAGTTACCCTGAATATGAGCGCATGTGAGTGCGTGCGGATCTGGTGAGTGAGCCTAGCTATGTGCGATCTGGGTGAGTGAGCCTGGGTACGGCAGGTGAGGAAGTGGACGCGCCCCAGTGATAACAAGAAGCCCGAACTTAGGACCAACAGATGGGAAATACTGGGCAGGCAACGAAACCCTTACTGCAGGGATCCGCTATGAGAGAATATCTGACAAAAAACATACGTACTGAAGGAACCCTGAATTGGACCCCCCCAGCAAGGAATCCATAATAAGGAACCCGTGCTAAAGGAGTCCTTGCCAAAGCACTCCTTGTGCAATGAAGCCTTCCTGTAGTACCTACCCATTACTGAGGAGCCCTTGCTGAAGGAATCCTGAGAAGGGGCCCGCACGAAAGGGACCCTTCTTCACGAAAGGTTTCTCGAACTCATAACGTTATCGTGTGTACTGTGCTTGATTGGTGCTCCAAGTGTTCGCAACGCTCCATTGTTAGCAGAAAGAATCAAATTGGAATGCATTGTATGGGGGGCCCTTTTGGTACGGAATCCTCCTGGAAGGATTGCGTATTAAGGAGCTCGTTTTAAGCATCAGTATTGGTGAGGGCCTCCTCTTCATCAGGATTCGCCTGTAAGGACTCTTCAATAATAATCCAACTGGCAAGGGTTCATGTAGCAAAGATCCAATGCATAAAAATCATTGTCTGCATTCGTTCAAGCCCTCTGAATCAAAACCTCCGTGATAATTCCGTCGGTGAGAGTTCTCCCCGAGGAATCCGTCATTAAGGAGGCCGTCGTACGGACCATTGGGCAAATCTTCATTTAGATCGATTCAACTCTCTCCGCCTTCCCCTACGACCTGCCCTCCCTCCGCCCTCTCTCTTGGGAGGGCGGGTGGGTGAGGGGCGGCTGCAGGCGCAACAGAAAACGCCTGTGGTGTTCCTGCTTGAAAGAGCTGAGTAGATACGCGGGCACCGTGCTTGGCTCTGTTCGTATAGGACCCCCCCCCCCCCGGGCCAAGGAGGGAGGTAGAGAGGGATCAGAGTCTCGAGGGGGTGGAGCAGGAGAAGACTTAGGGACCCCTTTAATCATAATCTCTTACTAAGGAAGACCCCTCGTGGTAAGGGAGCAAACAACATGGATTCCATCGCAACGGCTCCGTAGTAAGGATTCCTTCAGCAATATCTCCATTGGTAAAGATGCCTGTGATAAGGATGTCCTCCCTCTGCCCCGCCCTCCTACCCCGCTCCCTCCATCCTCTGTTTGGCGCGGGGGTGGGGGAAAACTCTCTTCTAACAGGAGTAGCACCGTGGATCCAGAGTGCCGTGTTTGAGGGCAGGGCTCGGGGAAAAAAGCAACTGATCAACTGGCCCATCTTATCTTGTTCCTCCAAACGTATCCCCCCCCTGGCCAGACAGGGCGGGAGAGAGGGATGAGAAGTTGGAGGGGACAGGGGCAAGAGAACACCTAAGGACTCCGTTGTCAGGAGTCCTTGGTATGGGCTCCTGTTGGGAAAGATTCCTTCAGGAAATATTCCAATGCAAGGGCTCGGTATCAAGGAGCCGTTTCTCAGAAGTTCTTCCGCAAAAACAGATATGTAGTGGTGCTCGTATGTTTTGCGTTGGTTCCTACGGTCTCTGGCGGTCCAGCGGCTGGCGCAGTGAACTTGGTTGTTAACCGTTGCACGGCGATCCCGTTCGGTGAGGGTGCCATCGGCAGAATTGGTTCAGCAAGGATTCATTGCTTCAGTGAGGACGCCTTGAGCTAGGGAACAGTCAAGATTCCTTCATTGCGTTTCTCCTGAAGGATTCCTTCGGCAAATATAAATTAGCAAGGAATCCGTGCGTTGGCAAGAACTCCGTCATTACGAAATCCTTCGCGAGGCGGGAGCAGGGGGGGAGCTGGGGGGGAAGGTCCCAAAGAAAAAACCTTGCTCGTTGAGTCAACCCTCCATTTTTGGGGACGAGCAAAAAAGGACGGTAGAATCCACTGGTCAGTATGTTTGTTTCATGGGGCCGTCCCCGCAGAGCCCCGCCCTCCCTCGTCCACAGAGGAAATTGACTTGCAATGCGCAGAAACGAATTGCATTATGCCAACCTCCCCGTGCAATCACACATGCGGAAACATGCGCGCAGAACGATGTGAAAAAGAAGGAGATGAGAGAAAGAGAGGAGAGTCAGGAATAATACCGTGTTACGGAAAACATTGAAATCGCTGGGCCCCGTTACGTATGCCCTCATAACTCCTTCTCGTGCCTCCTCTCTGCCATCATCTCCCCGTTCTTTGGTGGCGAGGGCCTTACAGTGCGTTCGCCATACGCCAAGACCACCACCAGAACAGCCCCGGACATGCCATTCGACTGGCTCGACAGGCCCTGAGAGGGCATGACCTTCACCCGTACAGATCAAGACGATGATCAGGTCAACAATCACAAGGAAGAGGAGGAGGGGGAGGGCAGGGGACGAGGCGAAGGAAAAGGAGAAAGAGTAGGACGAGGAAGAAAAGCCAGCGTGCAGAAGGGACGCCTCCTCGGCCTTCCTGGCCCCGGCGACTCTCAGGCGCGGCGCCCGAAAGGCGTCTGAGATTGCAGCCAGCTCGCCTCGTCAGGCAGAGGGCAGCGAGGTCCACGATCAACGCGATCACGAACACCACCAGTGTGATCAGGGATATCTTCGCAACTGGCGTGCCCGGCAGCAGCAGCAGCGCAAACGTCTCGGTGGTGCCCAACAAAAGAAAAACAGGCCCAGATGATTTGCTCCAGATCGCCCTGCAGATCAGTCATGAGGTAGAAGAGGGTCCCAATTAACCTCGACAGCGTGGGCGAGGCCCTCCGAGCCAGAAAACAAGCATAGCATCTCCAATCACCTCCTCGTAATCCAAAGGCCAAGATGCGAACTGAACTTGGTTGGAGCCAGCAGCACTCGCAAAGACCTGGCGCTCGAAGGAGGTGTGGCAAACACCGTCAAAGGGGTTGTCGATAAAGAGACAGTCGGAGACGTCGCTGTCGCCGTCGGGGTCCAACTGGCCGTCGGTACCGTTGGTGACCCAGGCAACGCCGCCGCAGGAGTCCAGGGCAAGAACCACTCGGGGAGCGACGAGGCGGAGGTGCCAGGCGCGGACTGCACGGCGCATCGCGACGGGGATTCGCAGGGCCAGCGTCAGGGGCAGCGGAGGAGGAGGAGGAGGAGCAGGAGGACGAGGAGGAGGAGGAGGAGGAGCAGGAGGAGCAGGAGGAGCAGGAGGACGAGGAGGACGAGGACGAGGAGGAGGATGACGACGAGGAGGAGGAGGACGAGGAGGAGGAGGACGACGAGGAGGACGACGAGGAGGAGGACGAGGAAGAGGACGAGGACGAGGGCGAGAAGCCGAGTTGGGGAGGCCGGCCGAGAACGGCCTCCGCCTCCCGAGCCGCGCCCCGCGGCCGCACGGGGGAGGGGGGGCGAGACTGGGGAGGCCGACGAGGGGCGCACGAAGGAGGAGAGTCGGACAGTAGGGGCCCGACCACAAGAAACCTTCCACTAGAAACCCAACCCTCAGACCCCTGGACGTCCATAGATTTTTGGTGTGGGAACGTCACGCTGTCCGTCGCAAAACCATCGAAGCCCAAGAAAACCAGGGCACCCTGGAGGCAAGCAAGGTGTTTCTTGGCACGGGTCCCCACTGTAACAGGAGGATCGATCTTCGCGGACCTCCACTGGCGGTGGATACGGACATATTCGGGCCCCCGGGGGGCCAAAAGATGTGCATCTCCAACCGCCCGCTGGGCCCCCAGGGCGTCGGTTCCCAGGCAGTGGAGCTGGAGGGATCCCTGCTTCGCGCCTTGGACCGGGGCAGGGGGGGCGGGCAGAGGCGAGCAGAGCGCGCGAACATCCGCCAGGGCGGCTGGGCCCGGAAGGCTGGCGCGGGCGGGCTGGACCCCTCATCCTGTAACTAGTGGTGGATGTTCTCGGCCGCTGGTGCCGTGTGACGTGTGCTGAAGGAGTATTGCTCCTAAGCTGCACAATTTCTGAGCTGCTCCAGGGGGGTGGGCAGCCACACGTGAACCACACCTCGCAGCCCCGATCCTCGATCCTCGAACTTCAATCCTCGAGTCTCGAACTCTCGTCCTTCAATCCTCAATCCCTGGAGACCGCCCAAGGGGGGTCCGAGTAGATGGGGTCGAAGGATCGCGCCGCATCGCCCATGCACCGCCGATGTTCCAGCGATGCATCGGCAACGTCGGCATGGAGAAAATCGGGCCCCACATCGAGCCGCATCCTCGATGCATCGGCGTAGAGGCGCGACACACCGATCCCGCCTACTTCGACTCCGTCTGGGCAGCCTGGGATGGCGCCCACTTAATCACTCCGAATTTCGTAACAAGCGACGCGGGGACGCCACCCCCGCCACGGCCCCGAATCGCCCACCGCTGTGCGCAACCACTACTCCGACCCCACCTGAGCGGCCTGGAGACCCATCTGGGCATGCTCCCCGCCCCACCCCGGGCACCGCGGGTCTCTGCAGGACCCCCAGGGGCCCACGGCCGTGCGGCGGCGGCGGGCGGCTGCGCGGACAGAGCGGGCGCCCCCCGCCCCCCCTCCGCTGGGCGAGCCTGTGATGTCCGCCCAGGCGCCGGTGAGCGCGGGGTCTATCTGCAGCCCCTGGCGGCGCCGCCCCGTCTCCCCGGGAAGCAGCCCAGGGTCCCGGGCCTCTCTAACCAGGGGCATGGCGACCCCAGTCCCAAGAGTCCGCCGACCCCAGAGGCGTGTGAGATTGGATTTGGGCGTTTACCCATCACCCGATCACCGCTTCGCCCTCGCCTGCGCCGCTCTTCCATGGCCATCGCTCGGGGCCTGCTCTTGGGACCCTGCACCCTGCAATTTCTTGACCAGAACACACCCAGAGCCCCACCCCGACCCCCACCCAGCCTGACACGTCCCTTCTCGAGAGTACCTATCGGGACCTCTGTTCTTGGGACCCCCCACTCTGCAATTTCTCGCCTGGAACAGACCATCACCTCCACCCCGACCCCCACCATGCCTGACACCCTCATCCGTCCAGAGAGCCCTTCGGGACCGGTGTCGACCCTGACCCCCGCCCCGACCCCCCCCCCTCCACACAAGGCACCCCCACCTCTCCAGAGCACCCCTCGGGACCTCTGTTCTTAGAACTTCTCGCCCAGATCAGACCCCGCCCCAGCCCCGTCGTCTGACATGCTGGCGGCTTGGGACCCCCTTGTGAAGGATCCACGACCCTGCGTTTTCTCGCCCAGATCCCACCCCGTCCCCTTTTGCTGGCCTGACATCCTGGCAGTCTGGATTGATCGCGCGGGTCCGACCCCGTCCCAGCCCCCTAGTCTAACATCCTGGCTGCCTGGGACTTCTGGCTTAGAGACCCCCGACCCTGCAGCTTCTCTCCCGGATCCGATCCCTCCCCAGCCTCCCGGTCTGACGTCGGATCCTGGCAGACAGGAAGCTCTGGTTTAGGGGACCCACGACCCGGCACTTTCTCCCCCGGATCCGACCCCGTCCTAGCCCCTGGTCTGACATCCTGGCCTGGTCTCACCCGTCTGGCCTGCCACCCTGGCGGCCTGGGACCTGTAATTTCTCGTGCGGGCCCGACCCCGCCCCCGCCCCCTGCTCTAACCAGGACCTCTGCCGTAGGGACCATTGGTCTAACATCCCGGCGGCCCAGGACCTCTGGTTTGTGGACCAATGACCCTGCGAGTTCTCTCCTGGGCCCGACTCCGCAACAGCCCGCTGGTCTGACACCTTGGCGGCCCGGGACCTCCAGTTCTAAAACCCACGACCCTGCAATGATCGCCCAGGTCCAAGCCAACCACAGCCCCCTGGTCTGACATCCCGGCGGACTGGATTCTATCCCAAATCCGACCCCGCTCCAACTTCGGGACTGACACCATGGCTGTCTGGGACCTCTGGTTTAGGGGTCCCACGACCTTGCATTTTCTCGCGCAGGCCCCCTCTTGTCCAACACCCCAGCGGCCTGGGACCTCTGGCTAGGACCCCCGACCGTCAATGTCTCTCCTGGATCCGACCGCACCCCAGCCCCCTGCTCGGGCATCCTAGCGGCCTGTGACCTGTGGTTTCCGACCCGCGACCCTGCAATTTCTCGCCCGGCTCCGACCCCGCCCCAACCCCCTGGTCTGACATCCTGGCGGCCTGCGACTCCTGGTTTAGGGGACCCCCGGCTCTGCAACGTCTCGCCCGGGTCCGAGACCCCACCGAAGCCCCCTGCGCTGACACCCCGGCGGCCTAGATCTCTGGCATGGGGACCTCCGATCTTGCATTTTCTCGCCCTGATCCGACCCCAGAATTTGCCGCCCGATGCGGTTGCTCGATTGTTTGCGTCGCCTCATGTTCGCCCGCTCTCACCCTGTGCGCTTCGCCTTCCCTGACGCTGCCGCGATCCCCCCGCCATGATGTGTTGTTTCTCTCTCGCTCTCTCTCTCTCTCACTCTAGTTCTGCTTCTCTCTCTCTCTCTCGTTTTCTCTCTTTCTCTTTTCTCTATTGCTTATCTCTATATCTATGTATGTATTTTTATTATTTTGTCCACCCGAAACGCTTGGAACTTTGATCCCGGAAATCCGGTGGCGGAAAAACCGTGGGAGCGCAGCATCATGTGAGCACCCACCCTCGCCGGCCAGCTCAGGCTGCGAAAACTCGGAACCAGCAGTTGGGTAATGACCGCGATGATGGTGAAGAAAACCTCGAGGGCGCCCAGCAAAACCCAGACCCGAGCGCTAGTCAACTTGCGATAGGTGAGCCCGCGCACTGATCCTCGGCTTGGCCGACTGGCCTAATGGCCAATGGCCAAAGCTGCCAAATAAAATCCGGCACAACTTGGGACTAGGCCAGTGACCTGGCCGAATACCGCGCCCCACGCGGAGAACATGAGATCTAAATCAAGAGAGGCAGGCACAACGCCGCAGTGCCAAGAGCACTGGGCCAGCAGCAGCAACAGCAAGAGAGAGGGAGAGGGCGGAGAACAAGTCAACCTCAGCTAATAAACGAACGCCCGACCGCCCTAGCAGCGAGCGGGTGGCTGCGGACCATCTCACGAACCACCTGCGTGAGCGCGTCTGGCGACGCGATGGCTCTCTATTTATATCTCTATCTCTCTATTTATCAAAACAGATACACACATATAACTTTTTGTCGGCGGTGCCCGGTGCGGAGCGAACACGCGCGTCCTGGGGTGTTCGTGCTGGCCGCACCGCCGGTGCAGGCCGGTACGAAACCCCCTGGGATGCACGAAGGTACGAACCCCCCCGGACGCCCCGCCGGTGCGCCCCGGTACAAAACCCCCTGGGGTGGCCGGAGCGCGGGACAGCGCCCGGGGAGCGTGTGCGAGCGTCCAGCGGCGGCGTCGGCGGCGGCGTCGGCGACGGCGGTGTCGGCGATGGCGACGACGACATCCAGAGATCCCCTGTGGGGCCCCTGCAGCCCCAGAAGCTTCCCAGAAGTAGGGGGCCGGACGTTCTCGGAGCTTCCCGGAAGTAAGGGGGCGGCTTTCCGCAATCCCCCGGAGGTCTCCCTGCATGGGGCTCCCCACCCCTCCTCCAACTCCTCCCCACTCCGTCGCACTCCTCAGCAATCCTCACCGCTCCTCCCGACTCTTCCCCACTCCATCGCAGTCTTCGGCCCTCCTCGGCACTCTTCCCGCCTCCTCCCCACTCCATCGCAATCCTCAGCTCTCCCCCCCGCTCCTCCAAGCTCCTCCCCATTCCATCGCACTCCGCGGCTCTCCTCCCAGTTGCCCCAGACTCCTCCCCACTCCATCGCCCTCCTCGGCACTCTTCCCGACTCATCCCCACTCCATAGCACTCCTCACTGCGACAACAACGCTGACGACGACGACGACGACGACGACGACGACGACGACGACGACGGCGACGATTACGAGCACGACAAGGGCGAGGACGAGGACGAGGACGAGGACAAGGACGACGACGGCGACGACGACATCCAGAGACCCCCAGAGGCCCCCAGAATCCCTGGAGGTTTCCCGGGACTCCCCCCCCATTCTCCGACTCTCCCCCACTCCGTCGCACTCCTCAGCACTCTTCACCACTCCCCCCGACTCTTCCCCGCTCCATCGCACTCTACGGCCCTCTCGGCACTCATCCCGACTCCTCCCCACTCCATCGCGTTGAGCACTCCTCCTGGCACCTCCCGACTCCTCCCCACTTCATCGCACCCCGCGGCTCCCCCCAACCCTTCTGAACTCCCCCCCCCGCGAACGCGACGGCGACGACGACGCCGACGGCGACGACGGCGGGGACGACGACGACGACCACCACCACTACCACCACCACCACCGCCACCACCACCACCACACCACCACCACCACCACCACCACCACCACGACGACGACGGGCCCGATGGCATCAGCATGAGGGGGGGGGGGGGGGCCAAACCCTGGACCATCTATCTAATATCCGTCCGTCGATCCGTCCGCCCATCCGTACCTCCATTCATCCATCTAGTCCTCCCTCCCACCCCAAGTGCACGCCCCAAAGACACATCCCCCTCGCTCCCACACAGCCCCCCCCCCGCCCCCACAGGAGCCCCCCCCACTCCCACAGGAGCCCCCCCCCCCACTACCAAAGGGGGGGGGGGCGCAGGTGCGCCCGGTACAAAGCCGCCCGGGATCCAGGTCGTCGGCGGCACCCGGTGCGCCCTATACGAACCCCCCCGGGAAGGCAGGGGGGGGTTCGTGCCACGGGGTACCGCCGACATTTATAGAGATGTATGTATGGACGTCTCTCTCTCTCTCTCTTTCTCCCTCTCCCTCGTTCTCTCTCTCTCTCTCTCGATATTTCTCTTTCTTTTATTTCTTTATGTGTGTTATCTCTCTCCGTCTCTCTCTCTCTCTCTGTCTATTTGTTCGTTCTCTCTCTCTCTCTCTCCGTCTGTCGCTCTCTCTCTCCCTCTCTCTCTCTCTCTCTCGTTGTATTCCCATTCCAAGCGCAAGCTGCACCGCCGCCCCCCGCCCGGCCGCGCCCCCGACCTTCCCGCCAGCCATCTGTCGACCTGCGCCTTCGGAAGCGCGGTGGCGCAGCTGATATGGCTCTGCGAACCGCGCGGCGCCTTCGCAGAAGCCCGGCACCCCCGCCACGCAGCGGAGATTAGCCCCGCACCCGCGGGGGAAGCTCCTCTTCCTTTCGAACCTCACACTGAACGCACTCCTCTTGCACATCTCTCGCCGAACTCGCGGCGAGGCGGCTCCGCGCCCACGCGGATTGCTTTCCTTTCCCCACGATCGCACACAACAGCCACTTTCTCCAGCGCGCGCTCCGAGAGTTCACCGCGGATTTGTTTCTGCCTGCACTGCACACGCGAGGACGCGTCCACTCCCCTCGCGCGCTGCTCCCCCTCGTGTCGGGCTTCCTTCCTGCGCGCGTTGCGCATGCGTTCACTGCTCAAGTCCGCTCCGCGGACGCCGTTCGCCAACTTGTCACGCCCATAACGGAAACATTTAAGTCGTCGTTTGAGCCCTGTACATCCTTTGCACGTCCCACCTCTACACCGACTGGTATTTGCGCGGCCCCCAGCGATCCACCGCAAACAACCTTGCGTATTCCCGAACTTCGCATTCGCGTCATGCTCCCCTCTCGGGGCGGCACCGGCAGCGCCGCGTCGTTAACTTCGACGGGTGGCGTCGGGGCGCGCGGAGGGCACTCTTGCCATATCAAAGACCGCAGCC